GAAGGAGCCAGAAAGTCCACGCTCTTATGTCACTGGCAAGTCAGCAAGGAGTTCCTCAGCTGTCTGACTCCTGACCTCTGAACAGAGGACAGTGGTATCTTCTTGAGGGGCCTGACCTATGAGCTCTCCACACACGCTGGACCTTGCAGAAGCTCATCGTGGGGGCAAGAGTAGCTGGGCCTGCCTTTCCTCTATGCCAACGGCTCAAGCAGGATAGAGGGAACCTTAAGGCACCTGCATCTTCATCAGCCCTTTCTCCCTAGTGAGAGGAGCACTCACCTGGGTATTCTGAGACAAGCACAGACAAAATGCAGAACATGGCTGCATGGGACTGACCTCTCACAGGACAGGACGCAGGTGCCACAGGCCCCAGCCGGTTATGACCAATATACCTACCATGCACACAACCTGCTAGATTGTGAAAAATGCCAAAGGTCTCTACTTTCAGAATTAGGGATTGACTATGACATCAGTGTCACCATGGTTTTCAGTGTTTTCATGTCTGACAAATGTTGGGGGCCAAGTATTTCAGGCCTCCATCACAGCAGCATGCTCACAGCCTTGGTCAACCCTGAACCTGCTGCTCCAGGACACTGAATGGCCTTTGCCCCAGTGACATCATCTCTCCCAAAATGGAGCCTCATCGTGGAGCCCTCATCAACCACAGCACTCACCACAACTCCTAAGAGCCTATAAATGTGCTCACATGAGGGACAACTGGGTCTGCATACTGGAGAAGCAAACATCATGCGGAGATTGCCTTGTGCACAGTGCCAGCACATCCAGGCACCCAGGAAGTATCTGCTAAGTCAGTGATGGCGAACCTTTTGAGCTCGGCATGTCAGCATTTTGAAAAACCCTAACTTAACTCTGGTGCCGTGTCACATATAGAAATTTTTTGATATTTGCAACCATAGTAAAACAAAGATTTATATTTTTGATATTGATTTTATATATTTAAACTAGAGGCCCGGTGCACAAAAATTTGTGCACTGGGGGGGGGGGGGGGGTCCTCCAGTCCAGCCTGTGAACTCTCACAGTCTGGGACCCCTCGGGAGATAACGACCTGCTGGCTTAGGCCTGCTTCCTGGGGTGGGCAGAGGGCCAAGCTCAATCCCTAAACTGTCAGTCTCAGGACAGGGCCGATTGGGGGGTTGGGGGCCCGCCCCCCTCTATGCACAGAGCAGGGCGTGATCGGGAGTTGCGATGCTCCTCTCAGTCATGCTCAGGGGTAGGGCCGATTGGGGGGTTGGGCCACCCCCCCCTTGTCACACTCAAGGCAGGGTCGATGAGGAGTTTGTGGCGCCACCCCGTCCGCACAGAGGAGGGCCCGTTCAGGGGGGTTGGGGCCCGCCCCCTGTCACTCACAGAGCAGGGCCAATCAGGGGGTTGGGGCACTGCCCCCTGTCACTCATAGAGCAGGGCCCATCAGGGGGGTTGGGGCTCCGTACCCTGTCACACACAGAGCAGGGCCAATCAGGGGGTTGGGGCACTGCACCCTGTCACACTCAGGGCAGGACCAATGGGGAGGTTATGGCTCTACCCTGTCACACACAGAGCAGGGCCCGTGGGGGGGGGGGGCGGTTGGGGCGCCGCACCCTGTCAAACACAGAGCCGCAGGGCAATCAGGGTATTGGGGAGCTCCCCCCTATCAGGCACAGAGCAGGGCTGATCAAGGGGTTGGGGCGCCTTCCTCTGTCACAAACAGAGCAGAGCGGGTTTGGGCGCTGCCCCCTGTCACGCTGATCCCGGTGCCGGGAGGCATATTACCCTTTTACTATATAGGATAGAGGCCTGGTGCATGGGTGGGGACCGGCTGGTTTGCCCTGAGGTTAAGTGGAGGCTCATGGCTGGAGACAGAGTGAGACTGTGAGAAGGGCGCATGCCCAGGAAGAGAGGCAGCCAACTGCTTCCTGTGGGTATGGAGGCTCCATGGACAGACTGTCCAGGGTGTCCTGGATCAGGGTGGCGGTCCCCACTGGGGTGCCTGGCCAGTCTGGCTGAGGGGCTGAGGGCTGTTTTCCGGTTGGCAAGCGACTGAAGCTCCCAACCGCTCCTTTTTTCTTTCTTTTTTTTTTTTTTTTATTTTATTTTATTCTGGGCCAGCTTTAGCTCTGAGGCCTCGCTGCTGAAAACATCGATACAATGTTGCGGTCGGCTGGGTGAAGCCTGGCTGACTGACAGCCGGTTTCTGGGGTTTTGTTTAGCTTCTTATTTGCAACATAGTACATAGTTGCTTAGAGTTGCAGCTGAGAGGCCGGCAAGTTAGGCGGGGAACGTTGGAGTCCGCAGTCACTGAAGCAAGTAAGCCTCCCTGCTCGCTTCAGTGCATGGCTGCCGGCCGCCATCTTGGCTGACAGTTAATTTGCATAAGGATATGCTGATTAGCCAATGGGAAGGGTAGTGGTCGTACGCTAATTACCATGTTTCTCTTTTATTAGTGTAGATGCCATTTAACAAAGAAAAATCAACCAAAAAAATGAGTGTCATAGGTTCGCCATCACTGTGCTAAGTGAATCCCATGCCATGTGGAAACATCAACTGTCCACTGTGGACTACTTTCCTCCTTTGTGTGCTGATGCAGGTCCGATATGTGCTGAGTTCTGGAGTCCTTACTTGGTCCTCACTTGCTGTAATCTAGAACCTACATCTTCTAGTGAAAGACTTACAGACTTGCATGAACCCTGAAAATAGAGCTGAAATGGGAAGGGAAGGTCATGACAAGGCTCCCAAGGATGTTTGGAGCTCATCGGCAGAATGATGCTCTAGGTTACTGGACCACACTTACGATGCACGGCATTTAGTATAACATCTCTTTCAGCTCTTGCATCAGAACTGTGCCTACAGTGAAAAAGTATCAAGTAAACACCTATTTTTAGTTAATTTCCAGAGTAACAGAACCAGCAACATTTTACACACCTTCCAATAACTCCTGACCACAAGAAGGCTTAGAGTCAGAACAGTGGGAGCAGTGTCTCCAGGTGCCATGGCCAGCCTTTTCCATTACCTTCATCTCCTGCGCCTCAGAGGCACCCACTTTCAACCTGGGAGGTTCCAAGTGCTATTTGGATGTTTTACTGCAGCAGCATGGTGTATTCACAGGGCGTGCCCCATCTTACTAGCTCCTCAGAGTAAATAGGACTTTATGTAATTCCCACTGCATTTCCTACAAAAGTAAACACTACAAAGTGCTTACTTTTAAACTCCCTCCTGCTGTTTTCTCGCTGACCCTCTGAGGGGTGTTTCACAGGGAAGTACCCAACCCCAGGGATATGACTCCCCAGGATGTGACCACAGTATGTCTGAGTGGGGCCCAAGCATGTACATTTCTCACCAGTTCCAGGTGATGCTAAGGCTGCCGTCTAGTGGCCTTTGAGGGACACAGACCTGCTCTCACTGGTTCTGTCAGAGACTTGTGTGTACAGTGGTGGTGACACTGCTCGTGCTAGAAGGTCACCATGTGGGCTAGGCGAAATACAACACAAATGCCTGGAACAGCCAACGCTCAAAAAAGGGCCTATCTCTTACCCTTAAGGGACAACCTTGGGGAGCATGTGGACCTGCTGGCCCAAAGCCTCCCCTTTCTTAGGAAATTTACTCTCAACCACACACCTTCAGGAGCTGGATTCCTCCCAGGCAATACCCAACTGAATTTCATTTCTCCCATGGGGAAAACTTTGACCCATATTTCCCAAATCTAGTATACTTATGAATACTTTGCCCCTCTGCCCTCTATGATCCACAACTGTGTGAGTATGCAGGGAGGAAGAGAATACAAAGGAATGAATAAATGAATGAACACATATCTGGAATGATAGCTCTACATCAAAACGGAAAACATGCTCATCTCTGGATGGGATTATGGGTGACTCTTTTCCTCCATTTAGCCTTCCCCTTGTGTTCTCACTGTCTGCCCTAAACTAACCAGCCCAATGAAGAATGCCACACCTTAAACACACAGGCAGATGGGACACAGATCACACACCTCCCACTGCTCCACTTGCCACAATCCACCCCCAGTCCCATCTCTCCCATGTTCTTTTTTGTTGTTGTTAATCCTCACCCAAGGATATTTTTTCCATTGCTTTTTAAAGAAAGTAGAAAGGAAGAGGAAAGGAGAAGGGGAGGAAGTGGAGGGGAAGGAGGAGAGGGAGGGGAAGGGGGAGAGGGAAAGGGGAAGGGGGGGAAGGAAGCAGGAGAGGAGGGAAGGGAGAGGGGAGGGGAGGAGGGAAGGAGGAGGAGGGGGAGGGAGGATGCATCTTTCCCTCCAGGAAATGGGAGAGAGGTCTTATTTGCTTTTTCTTCTGCCTTACTATGTTGGAGATGTGTGAAGTTCTGCCCAACTCTGTTCTCTCTTGCTGACGCTCCACATACATGTATTCAATCTGACAAGTTCACACAGTAACCAGTCTGGTTTCTTTCTTTCCATGCTGAGGTGGGTAGGTTTGTGAGGGTAGGTCACTGATTTCTCCCATATGTTGAGACGTGACATGTCACCCCCACCACCTTTCCACTCATGTCCCTCCATTTTAGGCCTGTGGGATATGCAAGCTCAAATCCCCATCCTTGATCACCACCCCCTCTTTTCAAGTCTTCCTATTACTCCACAATCCCTCCTAGCATCTTCCAGGCAACTACCAACCCCTCCAAGTCCCCGCTATCTCTCCAGCCCCCCCCCTCCCCCATCCTTCAGGTCTCCGCCATCCCCCTAGGCTCCCATCATCCCCTCCAGGTCCCCATGGTTCCTCTAGGGCTCCTAGAGTCCTCCTTGACCTAGAGTCTCTAGGCCCTTCATTATTCCCTCCAGGTTTCCACCATCACCATACGCCCCCATTATCTCCTCTAGATTCCCACAATCTCCCTAGGCCCTCTTATTCCCCTTACGCCCCCACCGTCCTCTCCATGTCCCCCATCATCCCCTTAGTCCTTCACTATCCCCCAGTACCCCACGTTTGGCCCTGCTGTCCCTTTCTCAGCCCGGCCCACAACCCACCACCTACCACAGTCCCTGGGGCACTGGAAAGAGGAGGGGTCCTCACTGCCAGATAGACTAGGGACGACGCGCTCCTGAGTCTTGAGGCGCGAAGATGACGAGACGCGGGGCGGGCGCCGTTTGAAAAGCTCAGGCGCTGTGAGGACCGGAGCTGGGTCGGGTGTTTGAGGGCTGTCCCAGGCCGCCGTACCGGAGCCGGGGAGGACCGCCGCGTTGTGCGCATGCGCTCAGGGCCCGGCGCTCCGCGGCACCGGCTCCGGCAGGAACTCTGTCTGGGGCGTCTTGGTTCCTCTGGCGCTGGTGTGTGCCTCGCGATCTCGTTCCCGCCAGCGCGCGGGTACCCAAGGCGTCTGTGCGGAAGTAGTTTTAAGAAGTACTTCCTTTCACCTCCCAGGTTAAAACGCCTGGCGGTGGGAGGCCCGAGGCCGGCTTCCGGCTTCCGCCCTCTCCCGGCGGCGGCGGCGGCACTGGCACTCAGTCCTCCGAAGGTCCCCCGCCCCGACCCCTCTCCCCAGCCCCTCAGCTCTCGGTAGACCCTCTCCTCCCTTCCCGATCCTCCCCGCCCGAAACTTCTCCATCCCCCGATAGAACCCTTTGTTCCCTCCGGAGCCGTCCCCTCCGCCCTCAGCAGCCCCGCACCCCATGGATGCAGAGCCTGGCCTGGCATGGACAGGGAGACGCGCGTGTTCGCCGAGAGCCATTTCCGAGGCCTCCGGGGGCGTCTCCCCAGCAAGGTCTGTCCGACCCCGGACCGCGTGGACTTTATCGAGAAGCCCGACTCCTTTTCCTACACGGACTTCTTCAAGAGTTACCTGCTCCCCAACGTGCCCTGTGTTTTCTCCAGCGCCTTCACCGAGGACTGGGGCAGCAGGAAGCACTGGGTGACACCCAGTGGGAAGCCCGACTTCGATTATCTGCTTCAGAATTATGGTAGGACTGAGGGCGAACGCAAGCACAGGACTAGAGCAGAGTCCTCTTATTCTCCTCCTGCCAGATTCCCTTAGTCATACTACAAGGGCCGCAAATGAGGGTAGCCACCGAGGGTTTGGGGAGAAGGCATGAGTGGGTTCCCAAAGGAATTCATGCGGAGACGGTATAAGCAGTGAGTTGGAGGGTGGGCAGGATCAGAGAAAATGAAGAAGCTGGAGGACTCAGAAAAGTATGTGCCTGACCCTCCCTTTTCAGGAGATGTAGTTGTACCTGTGGCAAACTGCGGGGTCCAGGAATACAACTCGAACCCTAAAGAACACATGCCCCTCAAAGATTACATCAGCTACTGGAAAGAGTTCATCCAGAGAGACTACTCCTCTCCTCGGGGCTGTCTCTACCTCAAAGACTGGCACCTGTGCAGGTAAAGGTGTGGTGCAGTGGCCACGGCACTGCTTTTTCCAGGCTTGAGTGAGTCCTGGCTGCACACAGGGCATCTCCTCTTTTCCCCAGTTAGGAATTTTAATCCGTATAAAAATCCAGCTCTGCAGCACTGTGTGGCCGTGCACGCAGTTGGCTGCTGTGGAGAAGCGGGATTGGTGGGGGTGCAGGTGGGCTCTGGTAATTACATCTTTGTCACATTTGCTCAGTGCTTCCATCTAACTGGCTTCACCCAGCCTGCCTTCCTCTGCTCAGATGCCCCCTGGAATCAGCCTCCCTTTCCAGCCCTCTTTCTCTAGGTCCAGCCTGTTGTGCTGCCAGTCTCCTGACTGGCTGCCTGCCGAGCCCGGCACCCCACTGCTAGGCTCACTAAGGTCGAACTGCTCTTTCCAGCAGAACTGTGGCCCACCTGCTTAAAATCTCCATCACTGCTGAGCAGCACCAACTCTCCAAAGAGGACTTTCTTTGTCTGCTCCCTCCTACACACTTCCACCTGGGAGCTCAAGCGATGCTGCTCTGAAAACATCTCACTTTCACTGTTGTGACCACTTTCTAAGGGGTCTTCTGGTTTTGTTTCCATCTCCCCCACCCAGGGGCATGCTTTTCACCAGCAGAAACCATCCTAATCAGACTCCCCTTAGCTGGCACAAAGGTGTTTAATTAATGTTGGATGAATGAGTGCACAAATTGAATTCTTGTTTTGCTGATGTGGAAACTAAGGCTCAAAAAGGTAAAATGAGACTAGAACTAAGGCTCATATGATTCTAAGACCACTGCTAGAGTACGCGAGACACGCCAACGCCAGTGCCAGCGCCAGCCCCCACCCACAGCACCCATAGCATGTCCTCCGTGTTCCTGCCACAGCTCTTTGTATTGGGCATGGAACTTTCTGTGTAGACAGTGGTTAAGGTGTGACCAGACACTGATCCTGGCCTCAGGCACTCATAGGCCCTAATGCTTATGCAGTGTGGATTTGAGCTTCAGATAAGCAATGAGTGGGGGTTTTTTTGTTTATTGTTTTTTGGTGTAAATATATCCCAAGTGTGCATGGGGCACACTTGTACTAAAAACTTCATTGTTTGTTTGAAATTAGGTTTGTTTTTTTTTATATATATATTTTATTGATTTTTTACAGAGAGAAAGGGAGAGGGATAGAGAGAGTTAGAAACATCGATGAGAGAGAAACATCTATCAGCTGCCTCCTGCACATTCCCTACTGGGGATGTGCCCGCAACCAAGGTACATGCCCTTGGCCGGAATCGAACCTGGGACCCTTGAGTCCGCAGGCTGACGCTCTATCCACTGAGCCAAACCGGTTAGGGCTGAAATTAGGTTTTGACTGAGTGTTCTGGCAACAGTAAAATGAAGAGAGCAGAGCAGGCCTGAGCTAGGCAGACATGGGAGGCACTGTCTGAACAGGGTTTGTGAATGGGCAGGAGTCTGAGTGTACAAGGCATGGTGTTGGGGGAACTCCAAGTGGTTTGGTGGTACTGGGTTCTCCTCCTGGCCTCTGACCAAGCATGATGTGTGAGCCTGCCTGGCATTCTCCCTTGGGCAGGTTTAACACGCTCCTGTGTTTGAGAGCCTATGGTTGGGTTGTGGGATCCACCAGTGGAGTAAGGATTTGAGAAGCTGAGGGTGAAAAGGACCTTGGTGTTCATGGCAGTCCTTGTGCCAGGGCCTGTGGCCTTGTGTCTGCTCAGCAGAGTCAAGGTCACCGGTGTGGGTAAAAACACCAAAGCGACCCACAAGTTCAGAAAACTGTAATTCCAATGATGCATTTAGAACCCAACTCTAAAATCCAACAGTCTGAAATCCTGGACCATGTGTTGGAGGGCCCAGAGCACATGGGTTGCTACCTCCATGGGTGGTCTAACCCTGTCACGGCACCCCTCGGCCATCTCATCTACTTATCACCCTGGTTCAGATATTTGGGTGAGCTCAGCTAGGGTCATCTGATGGATGGACCAGGGCTGGGTCGTATGAGGTGGCCCCACTCAGCCTGGCAGTTGGTGCTGGCCCTGGAAGGCAGCTCAGGGGCCCTCATATCAGTGACCATTGGGTTTGGGAGCATGGAGATGGCAGCATCCTCATGCCACTTGCTCTCTGAAGGTACTCCTCTGCCGAGGGCTTATTCACCTTGCCCGTGTACTTCTCGTCCGACTGGCTCAACGAGTACTGGGACACCCTGGACGTGGACGACTACCGTTTCATCTACATGGGGCCCGCTGGCACCTGGTAACCGTGTATCCACTCCCACCCACTGCCCTGCACCTTGTCCCTGATCACTCTCCTGAACCATGTTGGCACTCTCTCAGAGCCTCTGTGAGATTACTCTTGGCCAGGCCAGGGAGTCAGCTGCCAGGTCTGGC